CAAAAAAAAAAAAAAAATGTCCAGGGTGGGCCAGGTGCAGTGGCTCAAGCCTATAATCCCGGCACTTTGGGAGGCTGGGGTGAGGGGATTTCCTGAACCCATGGGTTCCAGACCAGCCTGGGCAACTTGGTGAGACCTCATCTCTACAATAAATCAAAAAACTTAGCCGGGCGTGGTAGTGCATGCCTGTAGTTCTGGCTACTTGGATGACTGAGGCAGAAGGATCGCCTGAACCCAGCAGGTCTGGGCAACAGAGTGAGACTCCAACTCAAAAAAAAAAAAAAAAAAAAAAGTCCAGCGTGTTCCTTAAAGTTCCAAGTGGCCTCCTAGCTGTGCGCTGGCCCATGGTGGCCTGAGGGCTTGGCTGCATTCTTGCTGTCACCTGCAGAGCAGTGACCCACACCTGCTCAGCAGGGGACGCCCCAGGGCCACTGTGAGGCAGGGGGCTGGAGAGTTCATGGGACGTGCTTCTCAGGATCGTGGGTGCTCCGGACTGGGTGTGTCTGTGAAAAGTGGTGCTGCTTTCTCAGTGTTTCCCATGACTCTGCTTGTCAGTATGTCTTGCAGATGTCAGTCTTGAGGTAACCTGTGATCTGAGCTGTTAGAAGCTAGATCAAGATGTGCCATTGGAATCTTGTCTAGGCGTTCACTCTGTGATGTCCGTTGACAAGCACTTGCTGAGTGCTCTTTGCAAAGTGCTGCCCCTGATGAACCCACCACGGATGTACCGTAGCCCTGAGGATGGAGGACGGCCTGCAAGGCCTTGTGGCTGACGTGGACTCTCCTCTCCTGCCACGCCTCCTGGGTTCTGTTCCAGGCTTTTCCTCCTCTCTGCGCCTGTACCCTCCCTGCCTCTCACATTCCACCTCTTGCCCAGCCAACTCTGACTCACCCTTGAGCTTGCTCGTATCTGTAGACTCCTTTGAGGCCTTTCCTCACACGTGCATGTACACGTCCCAGTTCTGAAGGTACCTGCTCTTCCTTCCCAGTGCCCCTTGCCATGCTGGGACAGTGCCTGCTTGCTTGTCTCTTTGACTTTCATTTCATTCACTAGCTCCTTCCACAGAACTGGCACGTTCTAGGGTTCATTGAGCTCTCGGTGAAGGAGAGAATGTTTCTGCAGGATGAGGTAGCCATAAGAAGGTTTTGCCTTGAGATTATTGGCGCATGGCAGAGAAAACCATCTGTATCCTTGACCTTGGAGTTATTTAGGAAAAAAACAAGAAGGTTCTGAAGTGTTTTTTGGAAAAAATATGAATTCAATGCAAGGTAGGAAATTGACTAGCTGCTAGATCAGACATGAGGGGCTGGCCCTCAGCCCTCTGGGCTCAGTAAAATTGTTATATGTGTAGCAGTGACTTGGAAACAGATTGACTTATGTTAAACCAATTTAGGCCTGGCACAGTAGCTCATGCCTATGATCCCAGCACTTTGGGAGGCCAAGGTTTGCTTGAGCCCAGGAATTCAAGATTGGCAACATAGCGAAAAAACTAAACAAAAAAAAAAAACTAAAAAGAATATTAGCCGGCATGGTGGTGTTTGTCTATAGTCCCAGCTACTCGGGAGGCCAAGGCAGGAGGATCACCTGAGCCCAGGAGGTTGAGGCTACAGTGAGCTTTGACTGTGCTAGTGTACTCCAGACTCAACAGTGAGATCCCAACTAAAGAAAAAAACCCTCACAAGAGCTGCTTTATGATACATCAGAAGGTTACTGACTTAACTAGGGAAGAAAAGCACCACCTCTCTCCAAGGAGCCTGATTGTCAGTGGAAGTGGCTGGGTGCTTCCTTGTTCACCTGCACTTCCTGGTCTAGGCCCTGGGCATGTGGATGACGACTTGTTTATTGCCTTTCCCCCAGAAGAAGGCACATCTTGTAAGGATTGGAACCTGGTCCTGCTGCATCCTAATGCCTGGTACGGTTGCTGGTGCCCAGCTGGTATTCTGTAGAGCACTCCAGGCACTTCCCACACTCCCCTAGAGGGGCTGCTGCCCCAGGAGGGGATGCTGTGTCAGGGTGATTTCCCGGCAGCAGCGGAGTCACGGTGATTCAGCCCAAAGGCGCTTGTGGACTAAGCTCCACGGGCCTGCACTGCCAGGAGCCAAGGCTGGCAGGACCAGGAGTGAGCCTGGCGCCTGGAAGCCACCGTCTGGGTCAGGAGCAGGCCGGTACATTGTTGTTGACACAAAAGCAGCCTTGTTGCGACTCCTTGTGAACCCATCCAGATCGAGGGGCCGGGACTGTGCAGCACTCTTCCACCACCCAGGAGGCAGGGAACCAAATGAGTAAAGATAAATGTTTGTCGTTCACTGACCCAGGGGAGATTAAAAGGATTTCCAAAAACCGAACCTCCCTGGTCCTAGTGGTTCTGGGGTTTTGCCATGAATCAGCCCTCAGTGAGGGACCACAGGTCCCTGGAGAGCGGGTTTGCAGTTGCCAAGCACAAAACGTTCCTCTGTTGGAGGGTTCCTGGGGACGAGAGGAATGTGCTCCATCTGTCTTGGGGCTTGGTCCCGTCCCTCCCCTGAGGCAGAGGTGAGGCTCACGGCTGTGCTCTTCTTCCAGGTGAAGTGGTGAACACCCACGGGCCTGTGGAGCCTGACAAAGACAACATCCGCCAGGAGCCCTATACCCTGCCCCAGGGCTTCACCTGGGACGCCTTGGACCTAGGGGACCGTGGCGTGGTGAGTGGCCCAGTGACAAGTGCAGGCTGAACCCCACCTTCACAGTAAGCCCCGTAGCCGTCCCCATCAGTCAGTGTCTGCTCGGGCCGCCTCAGGGCTGGCCCAGGAGGTCCTAGCAGACCCATCTGCTGCTTCCTGGGGCCTGCCGAGACTCCCCATATAGCACATTGCTCTTTGGCAGGCCGAGAGTCAACTCTGGCTCTCCAAGGTGGATGCCCCGTGGTCATCCTTCTTTGCTGTTATTCCCTTGTCCTGTTTCTGTCTGTCCCCTGCCTGAGGAGCGGGGACCGCTGCGTGAGGGCCTCTCCCTCCCTTCCTAGCCCAGCCCCCACCAGCCCTGCCTTTGACCTGAATGACTTGTTTCCCCCATGAGGAATGGGAAAATGGGAACAGAACTTTTAGTACCAAATTTGGGCCAGAAGATAGAGACAGCCAGGAAGGCAGAAAGCCTTTGTTTGGGTCAAAGGATAGAACCAGACATAGTAGGAAATGTGGTGACTCTCCTCGGAGTGCCTCCTTGACCCTCCAAGGACCATGTCTCCAACAGCCTCTCTGGAAGTGAGGTTAACAGCCCTCCACCACCGGCAGAGCAAAATGATGGTGTGGTTGGTTAGCAAGGCGGCATCCCTGGCCTGCCACCCTACCCCTGGTGGCTCAGTGTCCTATTATAAGTAGGGTTTTATTCCAGAAGAGTCCCTGCCATGGCTGGGGTAAAAGCATTTGTGGGATTAGCCGTCATTTTGGGTAGTTGGCCTCATCCTCCCAAATAGCCCGGATCCCGGGGTGTAGAGACGGCCTGGCGTGAGAGTGCCTCCCAGTGAGCCTCTGCTTCCTCTGCAGCTGAAAGAGCTGTACACGCTCCTGAACGAGAACTATGTGGAAGATGACGACAACATGTTCCGATTTGACTACTCTCCAGAATTCCTTCTATGGTAAGTTGTGAGTGTGTCCGTAGGATCTCAGGGCAAGGCCCAGAGTAGAACAGCACAGGTGCCGGGGTTTCTTCTCTGTTTAAGGCAGACTGGGCGAAGGAGGCCTGTGTGGAACTGGTACCCAGAGAAAAGGTCATCTATTAGATGATGACTTTGTACAAGAGGGGAGGGGCGTGAGACCTGCCAAGATTTAAAAGAAAGAAAAGTCAGCCAGGTATGGTGGCTCATGCCTATAATCCCAGCACTTTGGGGGCTCAGGGATTCAAGACCAGCTTGAGCAACATGGCCAGACCTCGTCTCTACAATAAATCAAAAAATCAGCCCGGCGTGGTGGCACATGTCTGTGATTCCAGCTACTTGGAAGGCTGAGGTGGAAGGATTGCCCGAACCCAGCAGGTAGAGGCTGTGGTGGCCGTGAGTGTGCCACTGCACTCTAGCCTGGGCAACAGAGTGAGACTCCAACTCAAAAAAAGTAAAATAAAAGAAGGGTCACTTTCTACCCAATTGTGAGCTTGCTCAGCCGTGTGAAAATGGCCTTTCCTGGCCGAGTTATCCATGTGCCTGGGCCACAAGTGGAGACATGGGCTGAAGTAGAGGGGGCCATCTGAGAAGAGAGGAGACGGAGGATGTGCAGGCAGAAGGGTGTGTGATGCCTGGGTTAGGCGGGAGACCAGAACTCCGGGGGCGCCATCAGTTCCTGCTGTGGGAGCTCCGGCCTCTGCACAAGAGGCCAGTCCTCTGGTTCACGCTGTCACAGTGATCGCAGAGACGAGCCGGCACTAAATCCCCAGTGTGATGGCCTTGGACTGGGTGTGCAAGTAACCAGGGGGGCTGAACAGCCAGAAGTCACAATGGCATGGTCCTGTGTGTTCAGGAGGGCTCACCTCCAGCCCCTGTCTCTTCCAGGGCTCTCCGGCCTCCCGGCTGGCTGCCCCAGTGGCACTGTGGGGTTCGAGTGGTCTCAAGTCGGAAACTGGTTGGGTTCATCAGTGCCATCCCAGCAAACATCCACATCTATGACACGTGAGCACCAGCGCCCACCCCTTCCTCACCCCTGTGATGTGTGGTCTGTGAGGGAAAAGCTGCATGTCCCCCCATGAAAGCAAGAGGGGACGTCTTGGGAAGGTGCCAGGAGTAGCGGGTCACCATGGGAGCCACCTGTTCTGCTGAGTCACAGCTGGCTCCTTGTCTGACCTGGGCTGACAGGGCCCACCCTGAGACCCAGTGAGCCCTCAACGGGCTCCATTTTGAACTCTGTGCCAGTCACAGGTGGATATACTTGGACGGCACCAGAAATGGGCCAGAGCCAGTGTGACCCAGATTCAGATTGTCCTTGGGCCTGTGAGCTCCTGGTTTTCTCTGGAAATAACGACACTGTCTAGGCTGGTTCTGGTGGGACTCAGAGCACTCGAGTCCCTAGAGTAGCCTCTCTTTACTCTGCAGGGTGCTCATGCTGCTTCCCTGCATGCTGAGGGGGGGCCCCCTGCCCACTCCTGGGGTTCTTAAGGAGTCCCATATCCCTTGGAAGTGGATTTTGTGGACGGGACCGGCTCCTGGCCTGGGAGAGGCGGGGCAGCCACACGCAGGAGGGAGTCCTGGTACTGAGTGAGTGCTGGCAGCGACAGCAGCGCCCGTGCTGAAGGCCTGTCCTTCCAGGTTCAGCTGCAAACGCTTACCTGCTTCAGCCTCATCACCTGGACTTCCCTCCCTCCGCAGAGAGAAGAAGATGGTGGAGATCAATTTCCTATGTGTACACAAGAAGCTACGCTCCAAGAGGGTGGCCCCAGTACTGATCCGGGAGATCACCAGGCGGGTTCACCTGGAGGGCATCTTCCAAGCTGTTTACACTGCCGGGGTGGTGCTACCCAAGCCTGTTGGCACCTGCAGGTAGAAATCCCCTCCTGTCAGGGCCTAGAAATAGGGCGTCCCCGCTTGAGTCGTGGGTGTGCGTCATCGCGAGTCACAGCTCTGCCCCTCTGCATCTGGTGGGTGGGAGGTGGGTGGCTGTGGGGGGTGGCGGGTGTGGGGAGTAGATGGAGGATTTGAGGGCTGACAGGCTGTCCAGGGTTACTTATCTCAGCACCCGCTAGGGAGGGCCATTTGGAGATAGGAGTCGGTCTGCTGGGGTGTGTTTTTGCTTTGAAGGATGAACCAAATCAGGATTTGTGTGGGAGATGTCCTCAAGTTCTAGGTGGTTGGCTTGTTTTTTTTTTTTAATCTTGTGCGGGCCACAGAGCGTGTGTCGGCTCCCTATGTGATCCAAGGACAACCTCTGCCTTACCCCCGGTTGTTTGAAACACCTGAGTAATCTCTGCCTGGAAAACTTTGAAAGTAAAGCCCCAGGTGTACAGCAGAAAGCAGGAAGGAGGGGGTGGGCACATCCACCAGTCTTCCAGGCTCTTCTCCAGTGGCGCAATTCCAGGAGTGAGGACTGCCCTCCCCAGACACCTGCTGTGGCAGAAGTGGCTTTTGAAAATGAGAAGGAAAAACAGGGAGAAAGAAGACCTAGGAGGAACCGTGGCAGCTCTGCAGTCACAGGGGAGGCCGGGGAGCAGGCGACACTGGCTCCTGAGGGGCCTGACATGTCTCTGGCGCCACCTGCTGGCCGTCTGGAGGTCTCTCTGCCATTGTCCTCTTCGTGAGACTGGCCAGAATCCTGAGGACAGGACATTTGTGTCCCCACAGGTACTGGCATCGGTCCCTGAACCCTCGGAAACTGATTGAAGTGAAGTTCTCCCACCTGAGCAGGAATATGACCATGCAGCGTACCATGAAGCTCTACCGACTGCCAGAGGCCAGTGGTGCCCGGGGTTATTGTGGGGCAGAGCGTGGTTACAGGCAGCCTGGCCCTCAGCAGGGAGGAGCCGGGCTCTGGGTGGGGAGCGGACTTTCTCACCACTGAAGTGAGCCAGCCCGCCGTCTCCAGATTCCGGGGCTTTCTATTTCTGTTGTTTCTGTTATCTACAGCAAGGGTTTTATTTTAGCTTGACTTTCTCCGTTCCCCGAGCCCACGCCTGGGCCAGCTTCTCTGCTGTCTGTTGACAGGCTCAGAGAACACCTCTCCGCTGGCATCTTAGTCTAAGGGGAGCATAAAGAGATGAATCCACCTACTGAACCGTCATTCACATGGCAGCACACTCCAGGGCCTAGTGCATGTGAACTGTGGGGTATCCGCCGCACCCTTCCACAAGGCAGGGCAGGAAGGCACTCGGAGCTCGTGGGGAAGCCTGGGCTTCTCCTAGTCCCCCACCCACACTTGGCACTGGAGGACTGGTGACCTGCAGTGAGCTCGTGTTCTCTGCTGGGCTGAGTTTTCCTGGTTTCCCAGGGAAGCAAATGCTCCTTGTCCTCCAGCTGTGCCCGGCTTCAGGGACACAATAACCTCGGATAAGCCGGGGTTCCCAAACCCCTTCTGTCCCTCGAGCACTTCCAGTGACTGTGGGGTCCTGCTGCCACTGAGCACCTGCCATTGGGCGGCCCAGAGCACTCCCAGCCTCTGACGGCACCTGCCTCCCAACCAGGCTCACCCCCCCACTGCACCTGCTCACTGGCGTCCCGCCTTGAGAGGCTGCGGCTGCAGTTAGACGCTGACAGAAAACTGGCTGGGACTGTGGTGGGGTCTTCTCCCTTCTGTCGGCCTGATGGAGTTGCCCTGCATCCAGAGCTGGCAGGGCGCTTCCCCGGGGGACAGCAGCTACCCGAGAACCATCTCACCCTGTGAAGTGACAGGCCCAGCATGGCTGCGTTTCAGTCAGGATTAGAGATGTCACTATGGGCAAATGAGGTCAGCAAGTGTTCCCTAGAGACGAGGCTTGCCCAGGAATCTCGGAGGCTTGAGGTCCTGGAACTGGGGTTTGGGAACAGTTCCTGCTCCAGGAAGCACTGTGTCAGCAGTGACTGAGACCTGACAACTGGGATCCACCCTGTTCTCAGATTTGGCCCAACCCCACCTGAGCCTAGGGGAATGTTCTGTCAGCTCTGGTATTTACTCTAGGGTTACGAGGTTTCCTTCCATGGAAGCATTTTTCTGGGAGAAGCAGCTGTGGGTGGGACGCTGGCTGGAGGCAAGGCCCCAGGCGCAGGAGTCCTGCCTCCAAGTTGAGCTTGCAGCTGCATCCTGCCAGGGGCGCTCCTCGGGCAGCAGTGTCTGGGTGGGCAGGCCCTGGCTGGGCCCTGGGTAATCTGTGAAGGGCTAGAATTCTAGAGGCCAGAGAGCCACCGTTCAGTGAGCAGGCCGTGAGTACTGCTGGGCTGGAAGGCCAGAAGGTGCGGCCAGAATGGCCAGCTGGCCCGAGGGTGGAAGGGCTGGGAGTCTGAGACAAGGCGGTGCACAATGGGTGTGCTTTCTTAGGAAGACAGCTTGGGGCCGTGTGGGTAATGGTTGATGTCATGGCCTGAGCCCACATGGTGGCCTGGGCTGGAAGGGTCAGCGCCCAGAGACACTGACAAGGCAGGCCCTCCTAGGCAGAGACCCAAACGAGAGGGAACTGCTGAGGGCCTGGGCTCCCCGGAGAGCCGAGAACAGAGGCCCAGGTGATCAGCATGTCTGATGCCATCTCTTCTGTCCCCTTCCAGGCCCCCAAGACAGCTGGACTGCGACCGATGGAGAAGAAGGACATCCCCGTGGTGCACCAGCTCCTCGCCAGGTACTTGAAGCAGTTCCACCTCACGCCAGTCATGAGCCAGGAAGAGGTGGAGCACTGGTTCTACCCCCAGGAGAACATCATCGACACGTTTGTGGTGGAGGTGAGGCAGGCCGTGTTCCAGGCCTCTAGCTCCTTCCCAGAGTGGGAGCGCCCCAGCCTTCCCTGACTGCCAAGTTGGGAGGCGGGGCTTGCATCTGCTGAAGGTCTCCCCCTGGCCTGGCTTGAGCCCTTCCTGCCAACCTCAGCTTTTACAACATGGAATAAGAGCAGTGCCCTCCTAGTCAGTGGTCCTTGGATTCCCTGCCTGTCCTACCCTAGCCCAGTGCTGGCGACACGTTGGAGACAGTCTGGGATTGTGTGCTGTCAGTAGAGGCCCCGCGACGCCTTGGGGGAAGGGGCTTGGAGCCTGAGCCGGGTTGGCCTGGCTCTGTCCTTGCGTCCCTGGCTGTGCACTTCCTCCTCCTGGTGTATCCTGGGGCGGTTTCCACCATTTCTCTCAAGCTACCTGGAAGTGGCAGGTGTCGCTCAGGCATGGGGCCCGTGCCCGTGTGACGTGGCCTCCCTCTTCCCACCCCCAGAACGCCAGCGGAGAGGTAACGGACTTCCTGAGCTTTTACACGCTGCCATCCACTATCATGAACCACCCGACCCACAAGAGCCTCAAAGCTGCTTACTCCTTCTACAATGTCCACACCCAGACCCCTCTCCTCGACCTCATGAGTGATGCCCTCGTTCTCGCCAAAATGGTGAGGAGCTGACCAAGCACTCAGCATTGTGTGGGGGCGGGGCGGGGGGCCTGGCAAGCACAGCTCGGGGTGCCAGGGACAGGGTGCCTTGCACGCTCCTCACCTCCAACACTCCAAAGCAGGAGGGGGCAAGAGGTGCCCAGGCCAAGCACAGGCATCTGCACCTGAGTGGCTTCAGGGAGCGTCATTCTCACCAGAGACGCTGCCAGGGGCTAAGTGGCTGGGCCTCCCCTGGAGCTTGAGACTGCCTCACAGCTTCCCAGGGGGTGAGGAGCTTGGACTCTGTTGGACTGTCAGGCCCGGGGTGCAGAGTTCATGGGGCAGTGCTCCATCCTGGGGTTCTGGTTATTCCTTGCCCAGCCCTGCCTGTTGGGCAGGCCAGCCCCTGCCTGGAGGGCTCTGACCCCTGGTGAGATGTAGAAGTTTTCTTCCCAAGTCTTAGGGCATCACTGCAAGGGGTCCTGTATCACAGAGTGCACCAGGAGCTGGGAGTCGGGGCATGTGGAGTCAGGGAGAGAGGGGACTCATGTCCTGGTCTCCAGGACTGTGGAACTTACCAAAGAGTTTCAGGGAGTGTAACAAGGACCAGTGGCCTGGACACTCAGGAACTCTGAGGAGAGGTCGAAGGGTGGGGTAGAGCCCGGGCTGTCCTGGACCCTTACCTGCATTCAGCATGGAGGCAGCGGGGCCTCTGAGGGAACCTAGCTCATCCACCCACAGACTGGTCTGCTAGGACAGCAAGGGCCAGGAGGGGGTGGCCTTCCTGTCCTCACAGGTGCTTGTTTCTCCCTGCCACCCCCACGCAGAAAGGGTTTGACGTGTTCAATGCGCTGGATCTCATGGAGAATAAGACCTTCCTGGAGAAGCTCAAGTTTGGCATTGGGGACGGCAACCTGCAGTATTACCTTTACAATTGGAAGTGCCCCAGCATGGGGGCGGAGAAGGTACAGCACATGCCAGGGTCAGGGAGGCCATAGCATTGAGGCCCTTGTTGCCTGGCATTGGGCCCTTGAAAATACCCTCCCTCTCATGGCCAGACCAGCAGGCCAGGGTTCCCCTTTCAGCAGCTGGTGTGAGGATGGCAGAGGGGGTGGGTCTGCATCTGAGGAGCAGGAGGGTCGTCACCAGCTTCTCCCACCAGCTGAGCTGCCTCCGGGGCCAGGCAGGGCCTCACCTGTCTGAGGGCATCATGGAGGGGGAGGTTGGAGGAACCCTCGTCCCAGCCTGATGCTTCCTAGTCCCTCCTCCCCTAGGCCATTGGACTCCTGGGGCATGGGGCTAGGCAGCATTCCTCCACGAGAGGGGCTGGTGGGTGTGTGAACCAGCCATGGGGTAGAATGAGAGGCTCCCAGGGCATGGTGGTGCTGGGGCTCCGCCAGCTGAAACCCCCTACCATTGAGGGGAGTGGCGAGTAGCAGTCTCCATGGAGGAGGGCTGGCGGGGGGAGTGGGAGAGCGTGCTCAGCTCCGCCTCTTCCTGGTGCTCCTCTAGGTTGGGCTGGTGCTGCAGTAACCAGTCGCCAGTGAGATTCTGGAGAAAGCCACTGAGAACTCAGCCAGGAAACGGAACCCCACCATTGTTGGTCCAGTGTTCACAAACGTGAGGTGCCTGGCAAAGGGGGCAGAACTGAACCGGCTTTACCAAACTGCCAGCGAACTTGAAAGTTATACGGCCGTGGCGTGGGCTGCGTGATGTCACCTCTGGCCATGTCTCTGGTCTCCCTGTTTTCCAGTTAATCACATCCTCATGCAGCCATGGTCAAGGGAATGTAACTGCTGAAAACTAACTCGTGATTGGCATATTATGGAGTTAACGGGTGAATAATAAAAGTATATATATATATATACACACATATATATATATATATTATATATATATAAATATTTTAAATATCGTTCATGTTCCAAATGTACCAGGCTGTCTGGTCTCTAATGAGAAGCTACATCCAGATCACTCCTCAGAATTAGGACCTGAGGATGGTGGCAGACCGACATGTTGGTGCAGTTCAGCTCCCTCCAGAGGAGGTGCAGACTTCTCTCGGGGAGCAGGAGGAGGACCTGGGAACCATCCAGCTTCCCTCTTGAGTCAGCTGGCATGACTGGCTTGAGAAGGTTGGGAAGGTGGCATAGGCTCAGGTCCCACAGGATAGCCAGCAGAACTCCGGGTGGGGCTGGTCCTGGGCAGGGGCCTCCCGCCTCCTGAGACTGAGCAACCGGGACAGTCCGTGGAAACCAGTGTTGCTACTCAAGTCCCTTCTGTCCCATTGGCTGCTGCCCATAGCAGGGTGTCCTGCCAACTGAGATAACAGGGCTCTCAGACCAGCTGTTGCCGACCTCGTAGGCATGAATCCCCTGTGACAGTTTGCTTTTCTGCTGCCCGGGACGACCTACATTTGAGGGCCCCTTGGACGTCCTGGTAGCATCCGGGGCCTGTGGAAACCACCTCCTGCAGCCGAGAGCCTGTACCCGATGGCCCAGGGTGGCTGGGCAGGGATGACCTGGGACTGATGCCCAGGCCTATGCAGCCACCAACCCCCGGCTGTGCCTTCCAACCATTAGCCATTTCTTGCTGTGTCCGTCCCAAGACGCAACCCGCGAGTGGCCACAAGAAGCAATGTCTTGAAGCGGACCTGGACTTGGCAACAGAACTGGTTTCCTGTCTCCACTGTCCAAGTCTGATTTTCCCTGACGCTGTCCTGTGGAATCTTGTGGTGGTCGTCATGGTCGTGGTGCTGCCAGTTTCCCACAGAGCGCAGGCTTCTAGGGGCACGGCTGTCCGTGTAGGCATTCTTCAGTGTTCAGCCACACGGCCTGGGGTGGTCGGGCCATGGAACCGTCAGCACTCCCAGCCTGGCTTGTGTGATGTGTGCTCTGGAGGGAACCACCAGTGGGCCGTGTGCAGTGGGCATGGGCTTCCTTGCTGCCACCTCAGTGTCTCACACAGGATGAAGCCTTAGCCAGGAGGCTGGGCTCAGCCCGGGCCACTTGCTGGAACCACTCTCTGCAGGCTGCCAGGGGTCTGTTTCTGGCTGTGGGTTTTGGTGTGATTTTTTTAGAGGCTGATTCTACAGAATCCCCAGAACTGGAAGAAATCACTTGGGCTAGGGGCTGTGCCTCTGCCTGGAATCTCAGCAGGGTCTCCCTTCTCGCCACTGTCCCTTGCTGCAAACTACGCCTCCCTGTTCGTGGCTGACTTTTGACTCCTTGACTGCAAGATACCCAGACCAAAGAAGCTGCTGTTCCTAGCAAGATGTGCACTGCATTCCACGGATGGGAGGAGTCGGAGAAGCAGGGCTTGCTTTCACAGCCTTCATGCCCCAGAGCACCTGTCCGGACCTCCAGGAATTTCAAAGGATGCTGTGCCCAAGTCTCTTCTACCTTGTGAGCCCTCGGATTTGGAAAGCTTCCTGTCGTAGTCTTGGTCAGTTTGGGGCCAGGTTCCAGCTTGAGCTGCCTCTGGTCATCAGGCCGCACACTCTGGAATGAGCTTTGCTATGGTTGACCCAGGTCATGGAATGGAAACGGCAAAGAAACCTTGGCTCTTCTGGATAAAACAGATCGCTTGGCAAAGGCCTGGCCTCTGCATCACCAAAACCAGGTGGTCTGCCTCCTTGGAGTCTGCTGTTATCTCAGTGGACACCTGCCCAGATTTGCACAAGTCAGCTCGAGGGCTGTTGCTCGTTTTGTTTTTTGTCCAGACAATTCCTGTATGCTCCATCCGCCCCCTCCAGGCCCTCAGGTTAGAGGGCACCATCGCAGGGCCAGGGTACAGTGCAGTGGTACCATGGCTGACCTGAGCCAAGCCAGGGAAGGACCCCGGGCCTCCACGCTAACCCACCTCAAATAGCCGCTGGGGAAGGCCTCCCTGGCCCCAGGCCCACCCTGGGCCGCCTGGTCCTTGGCTGCCATGTTTGACAATGACCTTCACCTCTGCCTTCCGCTGGACTCTGCATTTGACCCCAGGCTCCGATCTCCGGGCAGGGCTAGGGTAGTGAGAGACTTCCGCTCCGGATTGAGGCCACCCAGGGTTGATTTCCAGAGAGTCTTTCTTGAAGGCTGGCCCACACCAGCCAACTGGGACACCTAGGTTTCTGGACACTTCCGCCTTGCCTGCAGCACTCCCTAACTGCCATCGCTCCCTCACGTGCTGGCTCTCTGGAGCCCCGAGGTGGGTGTCCCTGTGGTCTTAAATGCTCTCTACCAAGGACCACCAGCAACCGATGGCCCGAAGACCCTGGACAGGTGTACGGAGAGCGAGAGAGACTCGCTGAGGTCAGGACCCGGGTCTCCAGATCTTCCAGGTCACAGGAATGTCTCCAGTCTGTGCCACCCACGGAGGCAGCCTTCTTATGGCTCGGCCCACCTGCCCCAGAGCAGAGGGAACCAGGGCCCTGGTGGCAGGCCTGCACACAGACTGCACCTGGGGAGGCTGGCAGGAGAGTTCCAGTTACATTCAGAAATACTGACGGACCAGCAGGCAGGTGCACGCCTGCAGAGGAGGGGGTATCACCCTTCTGTCTGGCTTTTCTCAGGGCCATGGGGGATCCATTTCCAAGGTTGGAAGGAAATGCCAAGTGCACTGTTGTTCCGTGCAGAATATCTCACCTGTTTCTAATAAAGGAAGCAGCTGAACAAATCCTCCGCCCTCCTGTGTTCTGGCCGGCGGCTGGCAGTGAACACACAGGCCCGGGGCCTGGCTGGGCAGGAGCTGGTGGGGCCTCAGCCTCCGGGGCCTCCCTTCGCCTAGTAGCCTCCCGCTGGGTGCCCGAGTGGCGGCTCTGAGCCAGTACCCAGGCACCCGGCAGGAGCTGGCCCGTATTCCCCAGATGAAGCAGGGTGGCCCCTCAGTCCAGGCCCGACACAGCACAGGCACCATGCCTTCCCACCGGCCACCTGCTGAGTGGTTTTGTGGAGCCACTGGGGTACATGAACATCGCAGTTCGTAGTGGCTGCAGCGGATTTCTGTCCCCATTCTTGTCTTCCAGAACTTACCCATTCCCAGATCCTTGAGCTCTTGAGGCCCCACGTGGCTGGTGCCTCCAAGCCCCTTGCCGGGGAACCTGAGAGGACACAGGGCCTGCCTGACCCTCCTAAGCCCTCACCTTGCCCCCACCCTCCGGTCCCTACCCAGGACACGCTGGCTCCTGGCACTCATACCTCATTCCTGCCTGTAGCTTTCGGCTGGCGCCATGGCCCCATGGGGGTCTTCACCCAGGGCCTTCCAGGGCTCAGAGCGGCCACCTGCCTCCCTCTCCCAAACAGGTTTTATCAGCTTCCCTCTTGAAGACCTTCACAGCAGTCTTCTCAGTGCTCACTTCACGCAGGCCCCAGCTGGAGCCGGTCCTACAACCGACTGGGCCAGGCCAGCTGCTCTCGACACTAAAACGACTTACCTTGCCGCACCTCCGTCCTTGGGTGCACCATGGAAGCCGGCCCTCCCACAGCCCTGGGTGTCCAGTGCCTGGGCTGCCCAGCCTGTTCCTTCTGGGCCCTTTAGACTCTGGCCATCCTCTTTCAGACAAATCCATCAGAACCAGACGACACTCCCGGCGTGGCCTGAGAGCAGGGTGGCCAGCGCTTTCTGTGTCAGGTCATGGGACTGCAGCAGGGCCCAGCCCCCTTCCGGGCCACCCTCAAGGGACTGCTGTGAAGCCCTGTCCTGGTCCAGTGCTGGAGCTGTCACCTGACGACCCTCAAGCACCAGCCTTGTGCCGGGCCAGGGGGTGGAATGTGTTTTGGCTCCTCCTGCCTGCTGTAGGGTCCTCTCCCCATGTTTCTAGAGGCAGCGGCTGGTGCCGGTGGAAAGGAATCCCATGTCCTCTCTTTTGCCCCACTGAGCAGATGGCCCTCGAACCCAGAGCCCTGCCCCCTCCTCCAAGGCCCCTCGTGGTGGGGGGTGACCTTGTGAATTGGTATCCTCAGTCTTGTGACACTGGCAGCAGCTTTAAGCCAAGAGCAGGACTCAGGGCTATTTTGAGCTGTGGCATCTCCTCCAGCCTCCCTGGCTGCCTCAGACGGAGCCAAGCTCTATAGAGGGAAGAGGCCGGGGGACTCCAGCCCCACCCCTCCTTGGGCCTGTGGAGTGGCGCCTGTGGACACAGATGTGCTCAGGATGGTGCTGATAAAATAAACTTGCTGCTTTACTTCTTATTTTTTGTAGAGTCGGGGTTTCACTCTCTTGCCCAGGCCAGACTGGAACTCCTGGGCTCAGGCAATCCTCCTGCCTCGGCCTCCCGAGTAGCTGAAGCTACAGGCATGCACCACCATTTCTTTATTTTTTGACCTCATTTATTTCTTAAACTAGATAGTCTCTGCAGGGCTCTCCTCGGACACAGTTAACTGCCAGGGTCCCCAGGGCTCCGGACTCAGTGCTCCCTTCTTGCTCGGAGAAGGGCAGGGGAGCTTAGGTTCTAGCAGGGAGGAGCCCAAGAAAGGCTGGGCAGAGGCCTGGGGGTGGGCTGTTGCTGGGGGGGTGGGAG